CTGGATGTGAGACACGGCCTCCGCGGCCTGCATGTTGGGCGGCGCGAAGCGCGAGAGCACGCGCAGCAGCGCCTGGGCCTTGTGCTCCTGCGTGTCGTCGTCGCTGTAGTCCGACACGCGGCACTCGTACACGCCCTCGTCCTGCAGCCGCACGGCCGACAGCCGAAGCCTGTGAGAGATGTCATTGCCCTGGACGCGCACGGTCTGCAAGAGAGAGGAGTTAGAGGCCGGGCTGGGAGGGTCCGAAATTTGCATTTCTGGCGGATGCAGTCAGCGCCCGCCCCTGCCATTGCGCCCCCTTGCCAGTGCACCCCACCACTTCCTGGACTCTAGCTTGCCCACCACAATCTGGCTTTCCACTCCTGTATCCCCAGTGGTATCGCGCTCCCAATTCTGAACGGAGGGTCGCGGGGCCCATTGCACTGGTGTCAGTTCCCTATCATCTACACCAAATGTCTCATCCTGCAACTACCCTTCGCCCAAACCTAATGTTTGTCTTCCTATAGCTTTCCCTTCGGAACCACATGACCCACTCCCCTCCCTCCCTCCTTCACCTTCATGAAATCTCAGTCTGGGCCTCCCTGTTCCCCAGGTCTGTTCCCCAGTGATGCCTGCAAATCAAACACATCCAACACCTGGGCTCTGAGGCACCTTGAGTTCCGCACTCCACACCTGCTCACGCTAACTTGCCTTTTAAACCAGAACAGAAGAGCCTGGGCAGTGTTCTAAGAAACGCTGTCTTGCCCCAGGGGTACCCATATGTCCCCCCCCACCACCCCGTCTCAGTCAGGACCACACTGAGTCTGCAGTGACCTGACCCCTTGCTGCGGACCTGCCCTTGCATGCAAGCACTCCTCTCCTTCCGCAGGGGGAGACACCGGGAAGGAACCCCTTTCCTAAGCACTCAAGGAGCCCGCACTTGAAACCGGGTCCATGAGGAAGCCCTGATACTTTCGTGTTCCAGCTGGAAAAGCTTGGGCGCCTCTCCTCCCAGTTACCAACCCCACGACACCGGGCCTCAAGCAGTCTGGCAAGACTGCCTCCTTTGATTCTGCCCCCAGAGACTACGACATTCTGCACCAGACCTGCAACCGAGGAGGAGAGGGCTGCAAGGGGCGGGGGAGCAGGCGTGCATGCCAGGCAGGCAGAGAGAGAAGCCCAAGCACCGGTCGTGGCGACGGCGAGTAGCTGCGCGCTCCCGGGTGCCGGGAGAAATGCCAGCCAGAGGCAAGCAGACGCTTAGGGGCCTGAGCGCGCGGTCCGGACCAAGGAGAGTTTTACAGGTGAGCCAAGCCGAAGCAGGACACTCAGGCCCTGGATCCTTGAGTCACACAAAAGAAAACCGGACCCGGCTACCGGCGACAGATGGCGCCCGGACACGCTAAGCAATCGACAATGCTAGGCTGTGAGCGTGGCCCTATATGGCACCGCCGGGGAGGCTTTCTAAAGGGGAGGGAGCTGCGGGGCGCGCAGCAGCCAGAAGGGGTCTCCCGCGGCCCGCGCTGAGCTCCACACTTACGCTGATTTTAGTTGCATCCTAATTTGTTACCTAAAATGCAGAGAGAGAGAGAGAGAGAGAGAGAGAGAGAGAGAGAGAGAGAGAGAGAGAGAGAGAGAGAGAGAGAGGACATTAGGCTATAGGCCTTTAGACTCAGAGAACTCAGATCTGCCTTTGGCAAGGGACTCTCCGCAGGCGGGCCGGGAGCCGAAATCGCTCCGGGCTTGTGGGGTAGAAGGCACTAAGGACGTTAGGATTTCCGAGAGTTTGCCCGAAGGATTCGGGGCTTGGAGGGAGCATGGTGCCTTAGCCAAGGAGTGGCTGCCCTACCACCTGCCAGCTGAAGAGGGAGGCTGGATTGCAACCAGGGTGGGAAGGAAAGCCCGTTTTTCCGCGGAGCGTCCTCATTTCCCCGCCCAGTTCCTCTATATCCTTCTCCACTTAATTCGGAGCTGTGAAAAACTGGATGGAAGGGCCGGTGTATCTGGACAGGACCCAGAGGGAGACATGAGCAGAACTCTGGGTGGGAACCTGGGGAAAATGTAGGTAGGTGTGTTGCGTGTTTGTGTGCTCGACGTTGTGTGTAAGAGCGTGGATTATGAGCAGACTAGCAGCATGTGCCTGTCTTCAGCCACGGGGAGGCTGCCCTCGGATCTTGTGGGGGCTGGAGGTGACCTACTGGGTCCCCTTACACGGTTCTCTGCCGGCCTCTGGAAGGAAGCCTGGAGGTTAACTCGTTGGCTCTTTGCCCTGGGGTGCTCAGGGTGATAGAGGAATGGGAGAGCCCTGTGGAGCCAAGCAATTTTTCTTGCTCACCACCCAGCACCCACCAGACACGGTGCGCAGCTAGCA